ATTCATTCATTCATTCATTCATTCATTCATTCATTCATCCATTCATTCATTCATTCATTCATTCATTTATTCATGTTTAAAGCTCACTTGTCCAAACTCCCAGATCATTGGTTGGATTTGGTGTGCCGTCCCCTTGTAGATGAGTCCTTGTTCATTCATCACATATTCCTGCCGTTCCTTTTCATCAGGCAGGTGCACCCAATCATCTGCCAATGAAGATACACTCTTTATAAATCAATCAATAAACAGACTTTATGATGATATAACCTTTGAATACTGTTGGGCTATTTCCTCCCACAAATCATTCTAAGGTAAAGTGTTACACCTCTTTAAAGGTATGCTTGTCACTCACCCCGGCACCAAGGGTTGAACAGCACCACCAGGCTTTCCTTTACGGCTTTCCTATTCTCTATTTCTGCCAGCAAGGAATACTTCCCCACTGGAGCATCAACGGGTGGGGTTACCAAAAGGCTCAGTATGCCCCTCTGCAGGTTGGACCTGTCATCCACTTTGCAGCTCCACACTGCTTTACTGCCAGCAACGCACATGGGAGCCTGGTTACTAAACGTACACTTGGTCCCTTGGCTTTCTGATGCAAAACGACCTTAGGAAAGAAGTGGTGTTAATACTTGTGTCATTGGATCCATACTGCTTTAAAATTATATTTTGCACTGTTTGACACCCAGATTAAAATTGCTCCACCTGTTTCCACTGTGAGTTGAACCTTTTCTGATGGCTGGAAAGCGTAGGCCATCTCAAGTGTCATGAGAAACGGCTGTCCTCGTCTCACAATCAGCTGCTTTGTACTGATTTCATTGGTCTTATGGGCGGCATTATTGGTCTGGCAGTGGAGGTCCACTTTCCTGATTTCTGGAAAACGCCAGTGAGGAATTAGAGTTATATAAACATGATGAGATTAGATTACCGTACTGATAAGGGACTTTAGTACTCTTTTGCTTTAAGGTATCATTGTCACATTTTGACTCAAATTAAGAAAAAAAACTCTTTATAAATCACATTTTTTATAACATTACCGTACAGCTAAACTTCTTTAGTTCAAAGGCTCAGAATCCTAAGCATTCCGTTCAGCAATCAATGTCTACTAACTTTAATCACTCAGAAAATTCAGTCTAAGCCTTTATGCAACTTTATACACATTTTAAATAAACTTTAACTTATATAATTTAAGTTCAGAGCTTCTGATAAAGGTTAAGGGACATAGAAACTGTTTGGACAACCAGTTGAGAAATGAAAAGATCTTCCATTTTAACACAGAAATTTTTTTATTTTTATGTAAATTAAAACTTCTAATTGTTTTCATGCTATGGTTATTATCTGGAAAAGTTAGAATATGGCAGCTTAAATTTAAGAAAAGGGCAAAGCAACATATCAAAAAATACTTATCAAAAAAACTCTCTAAATGTTGGGTACCAGTTACAATTCTTTTCACTGTGCAGTTCATGATATGAAAAAAATATCAAATCTAAACTCATCTTTTCTTAAACTTTAGATATCTAACCAGGCCCAGGATTTTGTAAAAATAGCCTCAAAATATTTCTCATTTGTAAATCAAAGCTTAACAAAAGAGGTTCAGCATAATATAGATCTGCATCTTTAAGATGAAAAAAGTTAATTTGGAAAATATTTCGTAATTCATCTAAGTCAGTGTATTTGTAGGGCTTTAAAATGCAATTTAATTTTAATATATAGCTGTTTATAATTAAATTATGTCAGGTTCAGCTTCAGTAATTCGTCGTTCAATATAATCCTAATACAAATAAATTTGACGTACTGACAGATTAAACTAAGATTCACAGTCAAACAAGCAAAGCATTTTACATCTCGTTTGAATCTCATTCACTTGTATAAAATAAAAACTGAACTTATCCATTATATAGCTCACCATTGCTGCTATGACACGCGGAGATCATGTTGTTTTTCTGCAGCAGCAGCTCTCTAAGGATCAGTAAGCTCTGCAATCCAGAGTGAACACCTTCTGCAGCCACCTGAGCTTTATAGACACGTTGCTCCCTTCCTTTATCTGATAGCATCTCTGATTTATCAGCTTATTGAAGCTAAAGAATGTCAGATGAACTGCGTTACATTGCAGACTGATTTAATCAGATGCATTCTTCCTCTACCGGCGCCAGCAGGTGTATGGCTCACTAACTGGGAATTATGTACAGCATTTATCACTACCACACCTACTAATATATTTTAAAACCATTGACCCTTTTGTAAGCATCGTGACTGTCACTGATCAGTCTGGTTTTGATAATAATTTGCTTTCTTCAGACTGATTCACTCAGACTTTTTCCAAGAACTGTTTCCAAGCCAATTAGCCAGTACAATATTGTTGTTTTTCCTAGAGTCAATTTTACTCAATCTTAAGTTTTTGGTTTCTTACATTTAGACAGAATTGATCTCCTCTGGTAAAACTTTCTAAAAAGCATGCAACTATCATTCATTTAGAAACACATTAATTAGATCAGAAACATTTGCTGGCCAGAAAGGAGTAGCTTAGCATATCTGCTAAGATTCATTCTTAATGTTCTATCTGGTTGATGTCATTTTTTTTTTACTGGAACTAAGAATGCAAAACCAAGTGAATGAAAAACAGCTACATCCGATCTGCACCAATCGTTCATCCGTCAAACCCAGACCCATCAGTTGGATGGCCATACAGAGCAAATATAATTACTCTTTCCTTAACTCAGGAATATACACTGCTTGCTTTTAAGGTAGCTGTTATTAAACCTTTATTTTTATGACAGATTTCTGTTTTTTCATGCTGTCCAGGGATCTTGTCAGTGGAACATTGATAGAAAAACACATTTCATGCATTTGTTGGAGCTGGAATATTTTAATTATCAGGGAGAGATTTCAACTGATCCAAAATGCTGCAGCCAGAGTTCTGAATCAAATTAAAAACAGATTGAATCTCTCCTATCTCAGCTTCCCTTAATTGACTTGACCTGTTTAATCCATAACAGAATTTAAAATATGCCTTATTACACAAAAATAACTAAATAACCAAGCTTTTTTTCTATATTAAAGATCAATTTGTTCAGTATGTTTCTAAGAGAGGAATTTGCTCTAAATTTTGCAGGTTTACTAGTAGTTCCTAGAACTTCTAAAAGTAGAACTGGAGGCAGATCTTTCTGTTATCAGGCTCCTCTTCTATTGGACCAACAACCAGTTTTAGTCTAGTTTAGCTTTTGTCTACTTTTAAGGCTTGGCTCAAAACGTTCCATTTTATAAAAGCTTATATGTAGTAAAAGTGTGAGTGGTTATCCTGAGATATAGTTATGCTGCTATAGGCCTAGACTGCTGGAGGACATAGGTACCGTTTTTCTTCATTATACTTCTATTCTCCAAGTTTGCATTATTTATTGATTAAGTTCTTTTTCTCTATGTTTTTTACACTTCGTAATAGCTACCTCTGGCTGAACACAGGATTATGTGAAATTTATAATTGGAAAAAAAAAAAAATATATATATATATATATATATATACATATATATATACACACACACGTACTGTTTTGTGATCGTGCAAAATTGTGTGTTATTTATGTTTGTGAAACCATTACATAGAATGATAATGTGATATCTAACAATCTCCCCATCTGACACCCTGTAACCTGATATCATATGTGGCCATAAGCATAAAGATGTTTCAGAATATATCTGCATGTCTGTCATCTCCTGTCACATGACATGTTCTTTATGATTGCAGCCATGATGGAGATATAAAACTCTTGCATAAAGCAAACTAGGTTGGAGGTCAAACTGGTGCTGCCAGTCTGTGTGGCCTACAATTAGCATTTAAAAGTCTACAAAATGATTAATTTATCAAACAGTCCTGTCACTATATCTTTCCTACGTTGTTCAACCACATGTTTGATTTTAACTTTAATTACACGACTGTATACAGGATCACCTTATTTGGCAAGTTTGGAGAACAATGAACCATTTAAAATCCTAGTATAAAAAGATGGTTATAAACCAATATTAGACTAAAATGATTATTATCATCATTATTAATATTAATTATCATCATTTCATTATTATCGGTGTGACTATATTTGCTTCTATTATTTCCATAGTGTTGGTATTGGTGTAATTTCTACAAAAAAATATCTGTTTCTTCTTTTTTAATTCTTTTTTTCTTTTTCTTTTTATCAGAAAACTGGAAAAAAGAAAATGAACTTCATGAATAGTATAGTGGCAGGTCATTGTTAGTTCATTCTTCATCCCACTCCTTGAACTTGGAAATGAAAATAACAACACATTATGTTCTTATGTACATATTTTGAACACATTCCAAGGCTGTAACCTTGTTGCCCATTTATTTGCTCATCCAAAGATAGTTTATTACCAAGAAGAACCCAAAACTGCAGAAGAGGATTAGGGCCACTGGAAAAAGAAAAAAAGTTAACTGATTTTTACATTTTATTTCAGTTTAGTATGGGACAAAAGTCAGAATTCTGCCTTTTCTTTTTCAGAATTCTGACTTTT